ACCTTACCTAAAACACCTAAAACATACTTGAGTTGTGCTTTGTTTCATTCACACATCTTTGAGTAACACTTTTATTTATTTTATTATTTTATTATTAGTCTGTCTACATCTCCAAAGCTCAAAATGCACTGTTCTACCTTGTGATGTCATTTAGTGGTAGTTTTCAAGTTAACGGCTAGCTTTTACCTTTAGTTCAGTAAAGATTGGTAGTTCCATAGCTGAAGTGATCCGAAGGATTCTGGTGAAGTTGTATGGAGTTTAAAAACACAGTGGAGCACTCCCCGTATTATCACATGACATCACAAGGTGGAACAGAGTGTTTTCTGTTTGAGACAAGAACTCAGCCTAAATAAGCAGGATTTGTGTGTTAAACATGTGTGAATGAAACAAAACACAACTCTGAGGAAACAACATTATAAAATGGGTCAGGAAATAGTGTAATATGGGCCCTTTAACAAAATGTGGCTAATCCTCCTCTGTTTGTTGGTTGCTGCTTAGATGACTGAGACCATTACCATACCACCAAAAAATGCCATATTTACAGGAAAAATGGCTTTGCTTTTGGCCGGACACACATGCATTTTTCAGTTCCTTGTGTGGGTTTGTGAAAGGTGCTTATAGGCCCCGGGCTCATAGATCTCTCTGCAGTCACCAAGGACAGACCAATCTTTCATTTTGAATTAAGCCATGTGAACAGCCCCGAATGTCTCAACACTGCAGCGGTGTGAGACAGCAGCGCCATTACAATGCACATGGGCCCTGGGTCTGCAACCATGCATCTGCTCCTTTATATCTTTGTCTATGAGTTTCCGTGTGATCAGATAAAGATCTAGTGTCTACTGAGAGGAACGTGGCAAGGATTTTTAAAGGGCCCATATTACGCTGTTTTCTGATTTATGTTATAATATAATGTTTCTTCATAAAAAACACACACACACCTGGAGTTCTGTTTTGTTTCATCCACACATGTTTAAGACACAAAATCTGCATATTTTGTTTTAGTTCTTTTCTCAAACTGAAAACACACCTTGTAATGTCTTGGTAATACAGGAAGTGCTCCACTGTACCTTCATTACAATCATTTGGATGACTTTGCCCTGGAATTGTCAATCTCTACTGATCTAAAGGTAAAAAGTAACTGATAACTTGAAAATCACAAGGTGGAACAGAGCATTTTGAGCTTTGGAGATATAGACAGACGAATAATAAAGGATTACTCAAACATGTGTGAATGAAACAGAACTCCAGATATATTTTTGATGAGGCAACGTTATAACATGGCATACTATGTAACTTTTCTGGTGAAGGCTCTGCCATCTACAGCAAATTCTATGGCTTTGTCTTGAATGTTTCACTGTATGGCATTAAACATATCTATCTAACACAGGGGTCTCCAGCCTTTTTCCTCCGATGAGCTACCTTTACAAAACCAAAATGCCAGAGAGCTTCTCATTTTAGCATTTGCAAAAAATTGATATTCAAGACCCACAGTAAGTCTTATATGGGGAACAGTTAGATGCCTGCCCTTTTATGGTTATTTTTGCAATCCTTTTTCTTTTTGTGCATTACTTGAACCTCAACCAAGACATTTATGGGCACATTTTAGCATATTTCTGATGGATCGCATAAACATCTGCTTATTGTTATCGTGAGAATCAAAAAAATATTCCTGACTCCATGTAATTGTATTACAATATCCAGAGTCTAGATCTTAAGGTCAACTAACAACTGGTCTCATGCCAAAGTGACATCTCCAGTGTACAATTCATAAAACTTTCAGATGTTGATGTAAATGTAAACAGACTTGTATCTCAGCCTTTACTGAACAGATTCCCCCAGAGACCAGCATTTTCACGCAACGCTGGCTTGTTGACTGTATGTGAAAGTTATCAATGTCACTTCCAATTAATGTTCACTTTTATCCAAATTTCTGTGATCAGTTGAGTTCCACGCTACTTGAACGCATCACCCCACACTTGCAAGCAATATCCTTCTGGGAATTGGACCCTCAACCTTTCCTTCTTTGAACCAAGTTAGAGCTGTGGGGATTGTCTTGTTTTCCTTTGGGCTTCTGAAAAAACAAACCCATGTCTTCTGTGGTATTGGTGCATACATTTTTCTCAATATTTGTTAATAGCACTTAAGTGTGGATCTAGTTTCCAGTTATTGAATTGATTTCTAGTCTTGTTTATTTTGACATTTGGTAGTGTTGTCACCACAATACTAAAATTTCTAACTCGATTTTGATACTAAAGGATAAACTTGGTACTCAATACTGATTCTAATACCACAATGATGATAAAAACACTCTTTATTTAGACAAAAGAGTGTGATTTTCAACATCAGAGTATTTTCTTTTATATTACAATGTGGCCTTATATCTGTGTAATTCCTCAGTCGTCCAGATTGTTTCCATAATGGTCCATGGGTGTGACTCTTTTTAATATCGATACTTGCTCAAATTAATATCTAGTTTCAATCAGTACTAGTTTTTGTGTCGATTTTTGTTTGTATCTGATTTTCGATACTTTTAACAAGCCTATTTTGACTTGGCTTTGTATTTGTAAGCTATTGGATTCTGTAACTTGCCGCATATGCTTGATGAAACACATTTATTGACGTATGATACAATTGATGTGTTCAAGGTCTTTCCGTCAATATGGCATTACTGGTCAGTCATGATATTTTGCTGCGCTGGGCCCATTCAAATAGAAATGTCAAACTGGTGACATTTGATACCATTTCCATTTGTGTGTACAACAGGGTACTGGCTTTTAGTGGCATTGGATTTGAAAGTACGACATTTTCCAGGAAGTTATTAAACAAGACCTTTTAGTTTATACACTCTGATGTTTTTACAGCGTATTAACTGGCAAACATATTCATAAGATTTGAAGTAGAGATGCACCAGTCCCTAGTATCTGACATTAATAAATGATACCAGTTTGTTTCTATCCTCCAAAACGTACAAATTCGTGATTGGAGATATTTTTAATCAGATTTGCGTATGTGTTTCTTGCACTGCATATCCTTAGATGAGTAATTTCTTGGAGCGTTAGTAATTAGGCAGTTTTCTGATCTATAGGTTTTAATGTTACATCCTCATCAAAAGCATACCCAGAATTGGTTTTGTTTCATTCACACATGTTTATCACACAAACCCTGCTTATTTAGGCTGAGTTCTTCTCTCAAACAGAAAACACTCCATTTTACCTTGTGATGTTGTGTGGTGATACAGGAAGTGCTCCACTGTGTTTTTAAACTGCATACACCTTCACTAGAATCATTTGGATAATTTCAGATCTGGAATTGCCAATCTCGACTGAATAAAAGTTAAACAGAGCATTTTGAGCTTTGGAAATGTAGACAGACTAATAATAAAGGGTTACTCAAACATGTGTCAATGTGTGAACCAAACACTAATATAGGACCTTTAACTACTCACCCATGATTATTTAAAGGAATATAGCAAATATCAAAAGTCATTTAGCAGCATCAGTGGCTAGTACAGTATATTCTGAGTCACAATTTATTCTAGATATTCAAAATATGTTACATAGACTATATATATAAATGGACATAGCTAACGCGCTGGACGCCGCGTTCCAAATAGGAAGCTCCAAATAGGAGTTCTTCCGGCTCCTACTGACCCTGGACTCAAATTAAGTGAAGTGCCTTATTGGCCCAAGCTAAGCTAATAACATAACTTTCAGAAACTATCAAGGTTCTGGTTTAAGTGATGCAAATTTTGAGACATTCAGAAATAAGATGTTTTCAGTTAAATGAAAACAACAGGACTTACTTGGCTTTTTTTTTTTTGGCCAGCATTTCGCTACCAACCAGATAGCTGCATCAGTTGGTCCAGTTGTTTTCATTTAACTCGCTGACAATAAGGTTCTGTTTTAATTAAAAGCAACAATCAATAAAAATTGACAATATTGCCTTTACTGAGTCCACATGGCAAGAGTTATTACTGTGAAAGTCTTTAAAAATGGAATTAATAAATCAGCAAGTAATAAACAAAATGTAAGGACTTTTATTGAATTCAGTGGAGTTTAAACTGCTTTTTTTTTCCCCTTTGATGATCGACTGGACGCCTCTCCTGTTCTGTGTAGATTACCACACAGCCCAAGCTCATGTAGATAACCCCCGTCACAGCCCCGCTCCCTCTATACGAGAAAGGCCACAGCGATAACACAGTGCCCCCTAGTGCCCCACCTCCACAACTCCTTTACATCTAATCCATATTAAACACAAGTCATGAAGGTGGCATGCCTCATTATTCTGGTTACACAGGTTTACTTTGCATGCAGTTTTTAAAGGTAAGATTTACGTGATCTGGGCTGTGGTGTATTTAAATTAAAGTCAGAGGGAGAACAGAGAATGCCATATTTGAATCAGTATAACATTAGTATGCAGATGTGAATAATAAGAGTGATTTTGGCTTAATGTAGGCTTACTGTTATCTTCGACATACAACTGGAAACTCTTACACTGTGAAACTGCGTTGATGGTGGGTATTTGTGTTTTGAAAGGGCCGGCCTATTATGCTATTTTTTGATCTGTTATAATACTGTTTCCTCATCAAAAACACACCGAGTTGTAAGTGTTTTGTTTCATTCACACAGGTTTAACACACAAATCCTGCATATTTAGGCTGAGTTCTTTTCTCAAACAGAAAACACTCTCACAAATACACTTTCATTAGAATCTTTTGGATAATTACACAATGGAGCTAGATGCGTTGAAAGCCATACTGTGGAACAAATAGGCAAAGTAATAACATCTCCATTGAGATGAGCAGGGAAGTAATTGAATTTGTATACTAATTTGATTTCTTTTTTATTGTATTACCCCAAAATGAATAGGCTTCAAGAGATATTATCCCAAGTTGTTTTTATATTCCGGGACTCTTTCCTGGCAACTGCTAGTATGACACAGTTTTAACATTTATTTTGGTCATTTTCATGCTAAACTTCTACCTGTGTCTTTGTGTGCAGGAGTTCGAGAAGCCCAGCCCCCCTCAGAAGCCCCTTCCTGCAGACCCCGTGCTGAGGATGTCCCGTCGTTTCAACACTCTGTCTGAAGGGGGCAGCAGAGGCCACAACACTGCGCCCAGGCCCATCCCAATACCCACTGTGCCCAGACCTCCCCCCACCATCCCTCTACCCAGCAGGTAAGGAGCCATTTTGACATTAACAAAAAATATGGTAATACGTTTTTCACTTGTCTCCGATATGTGTTAAATTATGGAAATGTATGCAAACAGGATTCAAATACCAGGTCTTGGTTTATGTAAAGCGCAGAATAAAATTGTTACTTAATACGGCAATTATAAGGCAGCAGGGTCCTATTTTGTAGTATTAAACATTAAAACTAAATAGTAATGAATTGACATACAGTACCTATATTATGACAAGGTAAAATAACTCTAAATACATTTGAAAGCTGAAAAACATATTTATTTTAAGCATCTGTCTGTTTGCAAGCTCTAAATCCCAAATAAAAAGGGTGAGCTTGTAAAACTATCCCAAATTCAAGGCCACAACCTCAGAATACAGAATGAATCTATTATGTATGAAGACGATGATCATGGTAGACAAGGTGAAGGCCAGTGTGGGGGTTCTGAGGGAGGAGGTGATCAGCTCTGAGGCTGGTATCACCTCCATACCTGAAAGAAAGAAAGAAAGAGAAGAGAAGTAGAAAAGAAGAATGTCAGAACAAGATGAAGAGTGCGAGGTATGGTCCTGCTCCCACATATAGTCAGCGGGTCATCCTTTGCACAGATCTGACCGATATCTTGTTCTGGGGGCATCTTCTGCGTGTTTCCATGGAGATAGTGAAGTTTTATGCCATACTGTGACCCATCCCAAGCAAAGCAAATACATCATCATGGACAAAAAAATGTAGGTAGACCCTCCACCAGAAAACATAGTGCACCTTTAACTTAAATACACTTAAATGCTTAAATCGTAATGTTAATGACATTGTACCTGATTTTTACTGCAACAACATGAAAAACAGATCTAGTTCACAGTGGTTCAAAGTTATTCCTCACTGACCTTATACAATCTTAATTATTCACCGTGATTAGTGTAGAAGCGTTTTACACAACCTTGAGAAAAGTAGAGTTTTGCAGTGACATTAGTACTGATTAGTACTGCCATACCTCACTGTAATTCTCATGTTGATGTGTTGTTTTCCAGGCCTGTCCCAGCTCTGCCCTACAGACCACCAAAGAACACGGACTCCTGAACGTTTTTATATAGATGCGCTGATTTCCACACAGACTATGGTTTGCACTAAAGACACTAAAGAGGAGAGCTTTCATGTTGAAAGTGAAACAAAAAGGGGAGTGACTGACCGCTTTTGGTGCTACGCCTCTGTACGGCGCTCTGTCCTCACTCAGGTACCAATGAACTATTTAAGTATTTATTATTGAACTGCAACATTGTTCCTTTGTTTTAGTATTGATGTTTTCTACTTTTTTCTTAGTGACTCTGCTTATGATGTTTTATAAGCAATGATGTGAAAATATAATGATGTAGGCATAAAGGGAAATGCAGCACAACCTTAATCTGAACTTTTGTATTGACTTATTCATGCTCTCCAGATTCTGTTACTGTGTAAAAGTATTCTGTTCAAATATTGCTACCATCTGGTGATTAAAATAACAATAACAAAGGGTCAAACTGGGTTTCGCGAGGCACTAGGTCAAGGCTATGGGTTGTGAGATGACTTGAAGAAACAATAACACTGTATTTAATTTAAAATAGAATGAATTTGTAAAATATGTAATAACTCAAATACTACAATTGAACCAGATTTCTACTTGAAATTACATGAGAGGTGAAGTTTGCTGCTGGGGTCCTGTGTTGGAGTTATTTTGGGGTCTCAATATAAAAAATATGGAAACTCCTGGTCTGTATGACAGGTGTTAAAGTGACAGAGGTGCTATGTGTCCCAAATACTGTACATGTTCTTTAATAATAATAACAATGCATTAGTCTCTTTGCAATTTGGTGCATTATTCATTCACTGTGGCCAGTCTGCACCATCGGCCCCCCAACCACCACCAACACTCACGCTCACGCCACTTTCATCCTAACGTTACACTATCGTGAAGGTGAACTCTGCTGCCTCATGATAAAGAAAAGCTGCTCTGTGCTACGATGAAGTTCTGTTAAATGTAGTGATATAGACAGCTCCGGTATTTCTAGTCATAGCACTCTTGAGACCTATTGTGGACTGACACACACATTTGTACTGCAATGACTGAATCTGTTGTCTATGTTTGCTATTAACACAGCTGTAAAACATGTTAACAGACACAGAACTGTTTCAGACATTGTTATCCGCAACACTGGGTCTCTTATTTCAAAGCCTTGATCAATATTTGACTACTTTGTACTTTCATACTTTGTCTTTTTTCTTTGTGGATTTCTGTTGTACTGTCCACCGGTTGCTGGATATTTGCAGAAGCTGTGGATTTAACATAATCACTTGGGTTTTCAGAGTTTTACAGCAACACCAAATACTTGCCCGTCCGCTGGCTATGTTAACTGTCTCATGTTTAACCCTCTGTGTGAGCCAAGAGGATAATTTAAGTGCCATGAGCTGTCCATTTCCTGTTTTTGTTGACTGCAATACTCATGTTGTATTTCAAGTTTGCGATTTCCCTGTAACTTAACTGTTTTGCCGAAGGACTGTTTTACTTCTCACTCTGTACACTACAACCCTGTGGTGAGAAACATACTGTACAAGTGTTAAATGTTATCATGAAATCCCTCGTGTGTAACTGTAACATCATGATCAAACATATTGTAAATGATCCTTTCTAAATGTCCGACTATCTCTCTTTTTTTCTTAAATGCACAAATCAGAGGGCTTAGTTTGAGCTGATGTTGGTGTCAAAACGCATCCTCTCTCATGGAAATGCCACAGTTATACAACGCCACCTGTAGGGGAATTTTGGTCATTACAGGGAATCTTCACTCAGCAAGCAGCTCAGGTACACTGGGTAACCTTTTTGGTCCGTCACCTGCTTCTCTCCATGCAGATTATATTACTTTGTCTGAAATGTTTCACAGTGTGGCATTAAACTTATCCATCTACCATTCATTCAATTATAGGTGTTTTATTGCTCAAAGTACATGCACACATACAACCAGCGGGGCATCCTTTACACAGATCTGACCAGTATCTTGGTCTTGTGGGATCTCCTGCTTGTTTCTATGGAGATAGTTTTGTTTAATACCATACTGTGACCCATTCCAAGCTACTCACATACGTCATCATGCAGACAAAAAGAGCATTAACAAATCACGATAGTAATTCTACCATTTCACCAGCAGATGCTATCCAAATATTCACCCACACAATTATGCATAGCTGCACTAACTTTGTTTTTATCCAAGTTTTCATTCATAAAATAATGTATAATAAGTATGAGACAATAACCAGCTTCATTGCACATCAGTGGTTTAAGAAGTACTCAATTGTGTTATGTAAGCAGAAACACAGATACTGGAGCAACTACTGGAGTTACTTTCCACCACTGTTGCACATGAGTAAATATGTAATTAAAGGGCATTTCTAAACAGTAAAACCACACATTTAAAACCACACAGCCAAACATTGGCTATGCTTCATAGTTAGCTAATAATGTGCATAATAGTTTTAAACATAATGCTTGGAAGTTGTCACATAAAACCAAATCAGACTCTATAGTGTATGCCACGAATACAGAACACAATGTCTTTATAATGAACCAGTAGTTCGTGTTCCAGTCTGTGTTCGGAGCCAGTTTTCTTTGTCCTCGTGGGTGTGTGCACTATTGTGTGTGTGTGTGTATGGGCATTTATCACACTGTGGGGACTAAAATCTGTATACTTTAAGATCAGGTTGAACTGCTTATTTTCCAATGATGAAAGTTAGGTTAACGTGATGAGAAATTGTTATTATTAGATTAACATGGTTTAAAGTTCAGATATGAGTTAAAATAGGTGAAGGTGCGGGTTTAGGTTAAAGTGCATATATAGTAGACAAGTTTGACTAGTAATTTCACTAAAATATCGTTATAGTTACATTTAAAGTTTTACAAATAATCTTGACAAATGTTTCCTTTTTAAAATTTTGGTCAAGTTCATAATTTTACTTCCTGGTTGGACAGTAGATGTGACAAAGATAATTCTATAACTGTTTCCTATAGTAACCATCATATTAACCACCATCAAAACTTGTCTTAATTGCACAATAGTTATATTAGACTAATAATAAAATATATATAATAAAATGTATCAACTTTACTTTGTTAAATGAAGGTTTAAACCAGAAAAGTGGCTTCCTTGTGTGTAAATTGCCTGTGTTTTGGATGAAAGTTTATGTGTTGATGACATTGGTAGAGAGATTCTGTTTTTAGATTCTGCCAGCGCTACTTCCTATACTTTTGTGCTTTTCTTTTTAATTTTGTTTCCCCACAAACTGACACTGAAATGATTTAAAACTATGACAAATATTCACCACAGGTAGTACCCACCAAACCAAGCCATAATTACAAAACATGAAAACTTGTCATATGCACTTTAAACGTGTTGTGTGTTGTGGAGGGTCTGTCACCTGCTTTTCTCTTGCTTTGTTTTGAATGTTTCACAGGTATTAAAACTTTTTCTCATTGTGAAGACCAAACCAGACCAAGTTACAGGTCAGATCTGTGGAGAGATGACCCCGCTCACAGTCAGAATGCCTGTTTTCTAGGTATTTTTGAGCCCACCTGCAATTGAGATCTGTTTAATGTCATACTGTGGAACATTCGAAGCAGAGCACGACGTATTCATCGAAACAAGAAGGTGACGAACCCCTAACCAGAAAAGTTACACAATGCATCCAAGAGTAGTAGTAATAAGTTTGGCTAACATTTGGCTCAGTCTCCAGGAAGTGAATGCAAGTCAATGTGATGTCCCCATGAAGTATGCAAACCCAACATGAGTGTGTGTATCATCTGCTGACTCCGGGCACTCCTCTTTGGGATTACAGACCACATGACTACACTGGGCTGGCCGCCTGCTGAGCCCTTCTCATTTGGCCGCACAGTTCACCACGAGCAGGGCACTTCCAAACTTCAACTCACCAGTCCTCATTCTTTTCCATGTTTGTACAAGTCTGGACTCTTAAATCCAGCTAACAATGGACCAAGAGGCTGAAGAGGAGTTTGACTTGGATTCAGAAAGCCTGGGAGAAGTGGAGAAAGCGTGTGATGACATCCTCGAGCTTAACCTGTTTGATGGATTGCCGTATTCTTCAAGGTTTTATAAGATGCTGGAGGAGAGGAAGGAATTGGCAGTGTGGAAAGTTAAGAATGAATTTATGGACGTTTTGGCAAAGGAACAGTTTGTGTGGCTGAGTGGTTGTGCCAGGACTGGACGAAGCTCTCAAGTAAGTGCAATTTACATCATTTTTAGCATGCATCAAAATGTTGCAAACTTATTTTTATGTTTTGTGTTCAGATTCCACAATGGTGCGCTGAGTTTTGCCTCTCGGAGCAATACACAAATGGGATGGTAGTGTGCACACAGATCCACGCGCAGCAAGCAGTGGATTTGGCGTTACGGGTGGCAGACGAAATGGACGTCAACATTGGGCACGAGGTCGGATACAGCATTCCTATGGAGACATGCTACGCCAACGACACAGTTTTGAGGTAAAAGAGTTGATTGTGTAACTAGGAAGTGATGTAACTAGAGTCAAGTGTCTTCAATAAAGACAAAATTTACTGATCCACAAGGGAAATTACTTTTTTTGTTTGTTTTCTTAAGAGTTTTTTAGATTAGAATAACGATTTTTTTTTGCAAAATCTTTGTACAATTGAAGATATAATTTAGTAGAAGTTTCAGTAGGATTACAGCATAGTTTAAAACACTACATTGTTGTTATTGTTTCCCATTACAGTGCCCCTAAATCTGAAAATAGCTGATATATTGTGTTTTAGAATTTTTTTTGTAAACTTTGAGTACAATTGCACAATATATTTCAGACTATTTCAGTAGAATTGCAGTATAGTTTAAAATATCACATTGGTCTTGTTATTGTTTCCCATTACAATGTAGTTTAATTTGAATTCCTGAAAGTAGCTGTTATATTGTACTTTTTTAAAAACTTTTTTTAGAATTTTTTTTGTAAAATGTTTGTACATCTGCAGGATACAATTTTGTAGAATTTCAGCATAGTTAAAAACATCACATTGTTGTTGTTTTTTCCCTTTACAAAGTCTTATTTGTAAATTCCTGAAAATACCTGATACGTTGTTGCATATTTTGGCACTTTTTACACATTTTCCTTTCTTTTTCATTGTAGACAAATATTAGCTCCACCTTTATTTTTTGACAAACTGTTTCTACTCTTTATACCTCTTTGATTCTTTCCACTGTGTTGCTGAGAAACCCAAATTCTGCACCGTCACACATGCTAAATCCTCGTGCCCTTTCACTATTGGAGACAACAAAAGACCCCGGCTGGCCCCCTCTTTTCAGTGGCTGTCCTCACAGCTGTCCTTCGCACACCCATATGTCACCCCCTCTCCTTTGGGTGCTCTCCACAACTCAGCCTGGGAACAATGGAGCCCCAAACGCTGAAGGAGGCTGATAAGGCAAACAGGCAGCCCCCAGAATCCTCTCTCATACTAATTATCAGAGTAAATTACACTAATAGATCCGGAGCTGGAGAGAATAGATTTATGATACTGTTAATGCGTCTATGAGAAAGATAAAGTCTAAATGTCAAGGGTTTGTATTCTTCTTTCTGAATAGACGACAAAAGTGTAAGTAACATCTTGTAGCATCGCCCAATGTTTCTCAAACTGTAGCTACCTCTGGTCATCCTTTGGGTTAATTATGAAACAAATTAAGAACTACTTTAATGCTGGGCCACCACAGTATCAGAAAAAATATAATTTGTGCATCTTTATGATAATTATAACCACAGCCAGATATAACACAAGGCTTACTAGTATTTTTGTACTTCATATTCATAATATTGGGGGAATGGGGGAAGTTTCCATTGCAGAAAACTCTTTGGCTCATCACTCACAACCAGCAATTTGACGATTAGAGATGAGTGAAGATGCAGAAAGTTGTAGTAGTGTGTATAAGTACCAGCATTCATGTAATAGTGAAGTGCAACATTTTATTAAGAAAAGATAAATTTTCCAGAATGCAGTTCTAAAAAGTAGTATTTGGCTACTACTGTACTGGGTGTTGTGGGTATTTCACAGAACATTTCTATTCATAAAAAATCAATTTGTGTACATTTTAATAAATATGCAGATAAACAGTTGCCCACCTCTGCTTGGTTTAAGTTCAGATTTCAGTAGTTATAAACACTGAAAAACTTGACAACAGTTTGTACATGTTATCACAAATTGTTAAAATGAACTGACATAAAGAAGATGCTTTTGTCCGTTTATAGAAATATATTATGTGTTATGTTTACTTGTCATTAAAAAGCCTTGGTTTGTGTCCACAGATACTGCACAGATGATGTCCTGCTGAGAGAGATGATGTCTGACCCTCTGCTGGAGCACTATGCTGTGGTGGTGGTGGACCAGGCTCATCAGAGGACAGTGTCCACAGATGTCCTCCTGGGTTTGCTCAAGGACATATGTCTGCAGAGACCCGAGCTCAGGGTGGTGGTCCTCACTGCCACGGATCCAGCATCCAAACAGCTAACACACTTCACCTCCGCTGCAGTGACGCACATCCGGCTGCAGAACCAGGAAGTGGGAGAGGTGGTCCACAGCAGTGCACAGGAGGGCTACTTCTGCTCTGCTCTCAAACTGGTCCTGGAGATCCACCACTCTGAAGAGGAGGGGGACGTGCTTGTGTTTCTAGTCACTACACAGGTAACAGCACGCTCTCAAATGTGACGTTTTTTAAGCTCATTGAAAAAAAAAAAAGATAGACATGCATAGTTTGTATTCATAATAATAATCATAATCATAATCATTATCATTTCTAAACTTACCTGTTGTATCATTTCAGGAGATCAATTTGGCCCATGAGATCCTAACTCATGAGGCGGACAGCTTACCCTCTGGTCTGGGAGAGCTACTACCTGTATCTGTACACCCAGGAGCACCCGGGAGCCTGCAGGACTGCACCGAGGGACAGAGCCCGAGGAGGAGGAGAGTCTTCCTCACCTCCAGTCCCAACGAGGACTTCTTCTGGGCCATCCACTCCATCAGATTTGTCATCGATACTGGACTGGAGAGGAGATATGTAAGTCTATGGAAAAGTAGTATCTGTTAGGGTTGTATTTGAGAGTGAATAAACAGTCCACCACATTTGAGCCTGGGTGGGAAAACTAGACAACAGTAAGAAATTGTTTTTTTGTTTTTGAAGAAATTATCCTATACACTTTGCAAATGTGCAAATAGTAGTTTCCACCATTAGATAATATCCAATCTGTGTGTTTTGGCCATTGTTATTTGTGAAAAATTGGTCACATAGATATAAATATTTAATAAAAAAAAAAAAATGGATTTAAAATTATAAAAATAAAAATAGCTTGGAAGGACTGACATATTTTATAGAAATAGTTACCTTTCATTTTGAAGTAATATTAAAGTATTCGGAAGAAAAAAGCTGACAAATTTTGCAAAATCATGCACCTTCTACTTGCTTACACAATTTTCCCTCCGTTACTTTTCCCTCCATTACCATGACCTTTCTTAATAAAAAATCTCATTACTCAAAAAGTAAGAGGTTTTTCAACCTAATCTTGTACCATATGGTAGAAAACTATATGAAGCAAATATTCAAACCAGTTTGTTAAGGATATGTAAGTGAGAACCTCTAGTTATCGCTGTTTGTATTTATTGCCCAAAAAGTGCTGCATATTTCATTCCCTCCGTTACCGACATGAGTTTTAAAATTTTTTGTCAACAACTTGAAAGAATATCACAGGTTTAACTTTACCCTGTTGGAGTGTTAACTCTTTCCTACATTCTGATACTTTACTTATTTCAATAGTCCCTCTAGTTTCTGAATAAGAGCTATTTGAATGTAAAAAATCTACCCCTGTTTCCCTCTGTTACCGCTTGACCCTATTGCTTCTATACCTTTTTGTAAAGTTTGGTAAAGTTAGCCTTTCATATGCACACTAAAAAACATATAGCCACATTACATAATTTTAAATCTCTTTCTATTTCAGGTATACAATCCCAGAATAAGAACAAACTCCATTCTCATCCAGCCTATCAGCACAGGCCAGGCCACAAGCAGACAGCAGCTGGCAGGACCCACAGGTAATGCCGGTGAACCAATCTCTTACGTTAACAACATTATCTATAAACTTCCTTTCTCAATAAGTCTGTTCTTTCCACAGGCAAGTGCTTCTGTCTGTACCCAGAGGAGAGGCAGCTTCCTGCAGAGACTCGGCCTCTTATAGTGGAGGCCAACATCACGTCTACAGTGCTTTTCTTAAAGAGGATGGAAATAGCTGGTCTGGGCCACTGTGACTTCATTGACCGCCCTGGTGAGAGCTATAAAAGAAAACAAATTACAGTCTGGGAAATTTGTGACACGTTTTAACACACTCCGATATAAGCCTCTTGAGCCCTGGGCAGATCAGGATTTAATAGTGGCTTGCCTCAGCTGTGTGCTCTGTTTTTCAATCATTTTACAATATTTGGCCCGTAACTGTAGTAGTAATTTCTTTTGTTTGGTTCAGCTGAAACAAGAAATACAGAAACATTTTTAACATGTCATGTAACATTATCTAACTTTTGATTCATCCTTCCTGAAATTGAAATCCTGCTAAAATAAGACACAAAACTTGTATACTTGCAATGGTGAAATACATGTTCAAGATTAGATCATCATTGATTACTGATTTTTTAATATTTGGTCTTAGACTTAACTAATGTTGATATGAATAAAGTGGATTCCAAATGAGATCAAACTTAATAAACATAAAACTCTAAAATTAATACAGTGAAACTAGTTAGTCTTCTCTTGAACAGAAAGTTCTTTCAACATTAGTTAAAAATGATAAAAATAGATAGTAAAAATTATGGTTCAAGTTAGGATTGTTCAAAAATCAATACTAAAACTAAATGTTGATACTGAACAAGTATTGATACTGGGAACAAAAAATGTAAATATGACTATGCTGGACCTTTCCTTAAAAAGTTTTAGATTGGACTTGTCAATAAAATTAAAAAAAAGGTTTACCTTAAAATACCTAGACCACACAGTAATTGAAAGTATTAAAAGTGCACTGTTCAACTTTTCTGGTGGAAGGTCCACTACCTACTTGTCTCCATGGAGATGTTGGGAATGCTGCATGATATGGCATTAAACATTTCCATCTAGCATTTATTAATTATAGGTGTTTCTATTTCTCAAAAATACAATAATTCCTTCTGTGAATCTCTCTCTCGCCTCTCCATGCAGATAAGCATGTGGCCGACCCTACACTAGAAATGTTACCTTTAAGCAAACTATAATTATTTTGTGTTGAAAATTGTATTCTGTTCTTTATTATTGTGACTTTGAAACTGGTACTGACTTCAGTTTCGATCCTTTTACTCAGCATCGACATCAAGTTTAAAAGTATCGTCATGACAATACTTGAACTACATCTGAATTGAATACCCCATTGCCCCAGCTGTCAGGGTCATCCTCTCTTTTGGAACATTTGGTTTGTTCTTTTGGCTCTCTCTGGGTCCCATCCCGTTGATAAAATGAACAGAACTTTTGTTATTGTCGAGCGGTGAAGCGTGGCACAGCCGATCTGACAGCTCCTGTTCTGAGCACTGACCTGCTTCCTGGGCTTTGTTTCCTGGTTTATTCACCCCCTCCACAAACACAGACTCACTCTGATACACTCCCATTAGCTGTTATTATAAGCACTGCAGAGGAGAAGTGAGAGATGGATTGTGTCTGGTGTAAACATGTTTATCACAAAATGCACTGTAGAATCTCATTTGTTTGTGTGATGAAAGAGCTTTAATTTAACATAGTGATACATGCCAGATGTGGGGATGATCAAGGGGATTAAACACATGCTAATCTGCAGGGGCCTTTTTGCAGGGGAGGCCTCAGTGGGTCAGATATTTGGATTGTCACATCAAATACACAAACCAAAATATCCCACATTCTGTGCTTAATCCTGAACCCAAAAATAAAAAAGGATATTCTCTTAATTCCTTCACAAATCGCATCTGTAACTTGGCCTGGTGGCATCTCTGACTTGCTTCCATGGAGATATACAAGTTTAATGCTATATTGTGGTACATTTCAAGCAAAGCACATCTCCATTGGGACATGTAAATTGTGGAGCCTGTTGTAATATCCAATGCACTCTACATTATTTATATAACATATAAACATGACAGTTTCCAAAGTGATGTACAGTCACATTAAGACGAGAGTAAGAGAGTAAATAAAAAGCCTTAGAATACAAAAAGATAAAAAAGAAAAAAACAAAAATTGTGCATTCTGGTGTTGTGCATCTCTCTCATACTCTCATACCGTAAAATACCACTGATGGCTTGTTGTCACAGACCCCAGCAGTCTGATGCAGGCCCTGGAGGAGCTGGACTACCTGGCCGCTCTGGATAACCATGGCAACCTGTCGGAGGTGGGGATCATCATGTCAGAGCTGCCTCTGGAGCCTCAGCTCGCCAAGACGCTGCTGGCCTCCTGTGAGTTCGACTGTGTGAGCGAGGTGGTCATCATCGCTGCCATGGTAACAGGTAACTATATAACTACATACTTTACATAGACTTTATTCATAATAGTTTATTAAAGATGTGTCTTATATTAAACTAGATTGATTCTTGTGAAATTTAAGACATATTATAGTGATGTTACCTCCTCAAAAACATACGTGGAGTTGTGTTTTGTTTCATTCATACATGTTTGAGTTACTCTTATAGTTACTCTGTTATTAGTCTGTCTATATCTCCAAAGCTCAAAATGTTCTCTTCCACCTTGTGATGTCATGATTTGGTAGTTTTCAAGTTAACAACTCCTTTTACTCAGTAGAGTTCAGTAGAGATTGGCAATTTCAGGTCTGAAATTATCTGAATGATTCCAGTGAAGGTGTATGAAGTTTAAAAACACAGTGGAGCACTTCATGTATTACCACATGACATCACAAGGTGGAACAGAGTGTTTTCTGTTCAAGAGAAGCCTAAAGGTGCAGGGTTACTGTGTTAAACCTGTGTGATTGAAATAAAACAATTTGTTCAAAATGACTTAAATTTGTTAAAACAAGACCTAGTGTGACAGTTAATGAATTCATTTAATATTCACCTTTCTCATTTTTTCCCAGCACCCACTTGTTTTGTCGTCCCCACTAAAGACTTGAAGCCAGAAGCTGCTCAGTGCCACATGAAGTTTCAGCACCCAGAAGGAGACCACTTCACCCTCATCAACATCTACAAGGCCTTCACCCAGAGCCAGCAGGACCCATGTGAGCGGAGGAAACAAACACAAAATGGCCTCCAAAAAGCTGATCGACATTTTATATGTATTTTGTCTTTCTTCTCAGATTGTAATATGGAGAAGTGGTGTCAGGAGAACTACCTTGACCATAGTGCATTACTGATAGCTGAGGTCCTCTGTTCTGAACTCATAGAGACTCTAAAGAGGATTGAGCTGCCTGTGTCACTGCCTGCGTTCGGTTCAAGAAACAACACCATGAATATAAAAAGAGCTCTGCTGGCTGGCTTCTTCATGCAGGTCAGAAAACTCTATGGCTTAATGATATATTTTCTTTGTTGCTTTGTTTGTTTCTTTGTTGCTGCTGAACTGAAAACTGAAATTCCTTTGGGATCAATAAAGTATCTATCATTACTATGCCAATTGCTTAAAACTTGATCACTGCACTATTTTTTTAAAATGACTAAACTAATTGGGTTTAACTAGTCATAATTACAATAGTTTTTGTTGGATAATTTGTGAAAACACACTTCTGTCTTCATGTTGGAACGTTTTGTTAAAATCCATTCTGTGTTTGGAGAGTTTAGTAGAATGAAGTTGAAGTTGGCCAAAGAGCCTGACAGCATTGGTTGCTAAAATAGTTAAGCTCATTTTAATTGTTAGACATGGAATATTGTTACAAAGCATAACTTATGCTATCAAGCCAAATTATTTGCCTGTGGAGTAATAATATTTTTCTCACCCCATTGGGAATTTGTAAGATAAATTATTTTTTAACCAATCAGAAATGTTTTGAGACTAGTGAAATATTTTGGTCATATATAATTAAATATTATGTGGTCAAAAGTAGTCACATACAGATTTAAACGCTGAATTTAAGTCTTGTAGTAAAGTTGTAGTCATGGTAATCTACTACACAGGATTATTCTTGATTCTGGCCAGTGCCTGATACCTGTCTAGACTCTTCATCTGACCTCTGACCCCCAGGTGGCCCGTGACGTGGACGGTTGTGGAAACTACCTGATCCTCACTCACAAACACGTGGCTCAGATCCACCCTGCCTCCTGCTACGGCCCCAAAAGCACCAGACCAGGCCTCCCTGAGTGGGTACTGTTCCACGAGCACTCCTTCTCTGAGGACAACTGCCTCCGCACAGTCACGCAAATTAAACCACACGAGTGAGTACACTGCTCCTCTTAAAAGCCCCTTATTAGCGGTATGCTGTTTTCTGATCTCTCTTATAATGTTGTTTCCTCATCCTAAGCATAACTGGAGTTCTGCTTTGTTTCATTCACATGTTTAACACACAAACCATGTATATTTAAGCAGATTTCTTCTAAATTGGATGATTTCAGCCCTGTAATTTCCAGTGTCTACTGAACAAAAGGTAAAAGATAGCTGTTCACTTGAAAACTACTGCTTTATGACATCACAAGGTAGAAGAGAGCATTTGGAGCATTTGGAGATGTAGACAGACTAATAAACTAGGATTACTCAAGCATGTGTGAATAAAACAAAACACAACTCTAGGTATGTTTTTGAGGAGGTAACAACATTATAACTTGACTTAAAGCTCAGAGTCCATTTTGTATAATTGTTGTTTTTCCACAGTTTCATATGAAGGTTGTCTATCCTGTTCAATTTCCATATTACCGACGACTGACTGCACAGCCATAGATACGTAAATACAAATTCAAGGCTGACTATACACATTACTCATGATGTTATTTCAACCCAAAGAGACTCAGACAAACACAAAGAGAAAGTATTAGTAGCTTTATTGAGTGTTACGTAAAGTATTAGTAGCTTTATTGAATGAGTTATATTTGGCAGAAAACATAGCAATGAAGGGCATGGCAGATTAGATGACGTTTAGAAGATGTCTTCACTCCGGGGGCTGGACACTGGAGGTGGTACAGGTGAAGTGGAGGAGTGTGAAGGGGACAATGAGAGGATGAGGAGAGTGAAGGGGAAGATGAGATGATGAGGGGGTGCATGGGAGGAGATGGGACATGGCACAAACCTAAGCCGACGTGCACCTCTGATGGGGCTTTAAATTGGGCAGAGTGGGCACTAATTGGATGAGGAGGAGATGTCGTGAGCAGCAAGGAGGAGTATTTGGAGTGGTGTGTTGAAGGCTGGGGAGCAGGTAAACTCTGGAGAAGTGGTGAGGTAGACTGGATTGAAGTTAAGTCTGAATTTACGCTACCTCCATTACAAATTGAAGGCCGTCTATATTAATCACGCTGTTTTTTGTACTAAGAAACAAGAAATCTAAGGATAAAAGCATTTACGAGGGTGGAATTTGACTTGATGTTTTAGGAGATTTAATAGTAATCAGAAAGACATTTGGACCAAGGAAGGAAATCCTAGTGTACTGCGGTAGTTTTAATAGTGGTAGCACAGAAGGTTTGATAATCCCTGCCCACTGTATCAGCTGCTGGGATAGAGGATTACACATCACACATGTTTGACAATATGGAGCTTAGTCTTAAGTCACAAAGAGAGAAGAGGAAGTGCTCTCAGTCTACACATTCACATAACAAAAATTCTAGGTTTTGCTATGTATCTTTATTTTTAATGGCATTGGGGAGTGACTATAGACGATATACTCCAGTTAGGTTATGCTCATGAGGGTAGCAGTTAGAGGTAAATTTGGAGCCAGGTTCATTTTAGGAATAAGAATTTAATTATGGTCAAATGAAATAAAACCAACAGGATGGTGTAGAGCTGGTTAAGATGAAAATTTGAACCAAAATGAAATTACAGAGAGAGGAGCAATAATTTTTCAGTGTGAAGTCAACTGGAAACAAAGTGCCCGCATGCTCACTTCCTATTTGAAAGGAGGAGGCCATCAGGTTAGCTATGCCCATTTATATATACAGTCTATGGGTGTGACACAAGAATCAGGAATATGTCACACCCATCAATTTATAAACATTGAGACAGGCTTTGTTTTAACACTATAGTTTGAACCATGAATACTTTGTTTCATATTATTGCTACTTCAATTGTCTTTAACTTTTTGTAGTTCAGTATTCATTGGTTTCAGCTGCTGTTACAGGCAACATTTTGAGGATTTTTCATCATTTAAGTTGTTTTATGTTGTTAATTGCTATGCCAACAGCTCAAATGATCTGATGTTTCCCAGAATCTCTTTGGTTTGCAGTTCAAGTTTTAGTTTCTTATTTGGTTACTTTTTAGTTAGTCTATCCCTGGGCAGCTCATTAGCAATGAAATAACACCCAATTTGTTAACTTATTATTGTATGAAAACTGTTTTATATATAATTCTATCATATTGTCAAAATTGTTTTTCCTCCTTAGATTCATTGAGATGGCGCCTCAGTATTTCTTCTACAACCTGCCACAGAGTGAGAGCAAAGATATCCTTCAGCAGATTCTGGACCGGGACATGTGTCCTGAAGAGAAGGCTGCAGTAGCACAGAGCAGCCACCAGGAGGAGCACACACATGACCGCTGTGTTATACAGTAATACTGTCATTGTGAAAGGACCATGTTCAAAGCACTATTATAATACAGGACATATTGTTTCTTTTCCCAATGTGTTTAATATGTCAGTTTTTATTTATTATAGTTTTACTAATGAAACTTTTCACAGCACCTTATCAAAATATAATGTCTGTCTCTTTCCATTCAGCTCATTAGAACAATAAATAAATCATATTGGTCACTTTGTGTTATTATGAAATGTACTTTTTTTAAGACCACTATGGTTTATGTCTTGCCAACACCAGATAATCAGTTTTTAAACAAATAAAAAGTGTCATGTTTGAAAGTCATCAGAGCTTTGAACATAAAAGACCAATATTAATTTAAAGCTATCATACAAGTTTTATTTTACAAGTCAAACAGCAAAACATGCCTTTTACTTAACAGCTGTACAGCGCGAGTCTTTGAGTTTGCATTGGCAGTTGCTTTTCTATTGCACACAATGTTTTAGTGAAAGCCACCAACAAACTTTTTTTTAATTTACAGTAATGCTGGTGTCACTGTCAACTTAAGTAACCACTTTCTGAGATTTAACTTTTTCTATGTAAAATCTTAGATCACAGTTTATATATAGGTTTTCACATCAGCAATATTAAATCTCCATTATTAAATACAATATTACAAAGCTTTTGTTTAGTTGTGGAAAATACAACATAAATACAGAATGCTGAATCTTTTAGAAAATGTGTGCAGCAAGTTTGCACAATGGGCACTTATGTGGAAAAAAAAATTCCTCTAATCTTAAACCATATATCACAATTTAGATTTCAGAATTAAATCTCAAATCGAATATTTAAGATGACCCAATCTGAAAAGTGAAACAAGATTCTCTGGAAAGAATACTACAGAGAAAAACTATTTGTAGAAATGTGTAAGATTCTCAAATTTAAAGGCTTATATAAGGTGAAACTGGATTTGTCACTGTCGCGTGAGAAATGTTATAATAATTGTTAGAAGTGAAGACATTCTTTTACAGCATTTCGTGTCATTTTTTAAGCCTAGAGAAAATTCTGCTATGAGTCTGTACTGTTGCTTTCAGTTTCTGCCTTCAGCTGGTTTAGGAGCTCTATGTAGAACTTGACTCGATTTAGCAAAGGGGCATTTTTCTCTGCACGCAATAACTTCGAGTAGACATCCTTGTAGGTTTTCAGCAATTCCTCATCCTTACCACTAAAATAAACACAATTGTCAGTTTACAAATATGAAACAAGGAGAAATCAAAATAGAGGATTTCATTTTTATTTGTACTCACCTTGGTTTGCGTTTTATTGTAGTCAGGATTTTAATGACCTGGAGCAACAGGAAGGAGAAGCTTGGTTCAAAGACTCCACTTAACTTGATGACTTCCTGGAGGTTGAGTCCTGACCCGTCATCCGTCGACGGGTCTGAGGATTCTCCCGATTCAGTCACATCTTGTTCCTTCTTCAGCATTAATACATAAAATAAAAAAGCAAGCAATGCAAAATGATTAAAATTCAAAACATATACAAATCATAACCGGGTTTGACGATCTACAAGGCATGTCAATATAGGCTAAATACTGCTTTGCCCCAATATATTTCTTACTGCAACTTTTGTTCACTCGAAATACCAAAAAACAGATTTATTTTATTATCAGAATGTTCATTGCACCGTACAGCCTTAAAAATAATAATGTCTTACCTCCATCTCCTCTTCCATCAGCTCTTTATGAATGAGTTGGAAAGCATGTCTCGTCTCAGTCATAATGTCCAGCGCTGCAGTCAGACTTTTCAGTTTAGCTGCACTGCTGTTTTGACCTGCACCAAGAGAAATATTCATACAACCTAGAATTATAATCACCATTATTAAAAACACACACCCTCAGATTTGGATTAGTATTAATGGATACACAAAACTCAAAAGGTGCCTTGTGTAACTTTTCAAATGATTTTTTACCAAATCAGACCAAGTTACAGTTCAGTTCTATAGTGAGGCAAACCTGCTCCCTGTCAGAATGCCTGTTTTTCTAGGTATTTTTGAGCTATAAAACCACCTGTAATTGAATAACTGGAAGTAGAGCTTTTTTAATGATACTGTGGAACATTTCAGGCAGGGCAGTGATATATCCATAGGAACAAGCAGGTGATGAACCCCCACAGACTGTATGAAAAAGTGGACAAAGTGAGTGTGACATCATCCACAGCGTTCACTGCCACTCAAATGAAGCTCACAATGCTAGCGGTTACAGGGGTAAATTTGAAGCCAGGCTCTATATTATGAAAAGCATTTTTCTGACAGACAAAACAGGGAAAAAAAAACCACCAGGGCCATCTAGAGCACGTTAATACAAATATTTTAAGACCAAAATGACGAGGCTCGCAGCAGCAGTTACAGAGAGAGGGGTGACAATATTCCAATGTAAGTTAATGGGAGCCAGGGTCAGAAGGAGCTGGAAGAGCCTGCATGCTATGACTTATGAGGACCTCCAACCAAATAGTTACATAATGCACCTTTAAGTATATGGTCTGAAAAGCTTGACCAGTAAATGTAAATCACTGATTAGGAGCTGTGTATATATATATATATATATATAAAAAAGACTACAGCAGTGGTGGGTGCTGTCTGACCTGCCATAGTGAACTCAGCAAAGGCCACCCTCTCCAGCAGAGTCCGCAACAGCTCACAGGGGGCGTCCCTGAGGCTCACAAACAGACTGACTGCTTTACTGTAGTGCTGCTCGGCCAGGCTCCTGTGCTGCTTCCTCAAGTGCTCATCTCCCACCTGTCAGAGAGAGAGAGAGACAGAGAGAGAGAAAGAAAGAAAGAGAGAGGTGATAAATGGACTTCATGTGAAGCTCAGGTAGGACATTCAAATAAAGTTGGTAGTATATGAGATGTATGCACACATTTCAAAAGCAGCATTTTGGAACTCAATACAGACTTGTATCCACTGCGGCATTGTTTTTTATTTGATGCATGGCAGATGTACCTGGTTGCGGAAGCAGCTGTGGTACATGGAGGCCAGGCGGTGGTGGATGGTGGCGGCTCTGTACTGATACAGAGGCTGTCGGGCCGATTCTGTCTGCAGGTCACAGTACTTCAGGGACTTCATCATGGCCTCAGTCACCTCTCTCTCAATCTAAACACAAGAATTTCTAACATTATCATTTTATTTTATATGGTATGCATACACTTTTGTATGTGTTGTGCCCACCTGCTCCTGAGCCTTCCTGGACAGTGGGGCGTAGTCCTGCAGGAGTGTGGCCAGTGTGAAGTAAGTGGTGGACAGCTCCCAGTTGACGCTGTCCCACACGGCCGGGTGGCTCTCTCTAGTGGTCAAAGCCTTCATTGCACGCAGGTAGTAGTCTATGGCCTGCAGAATAACAGTTTAGGAATAATATATTATAATGTCAGCACCATTTAAGGCATTTTTAAAAAATGACAAAATTGACATTTAATTACATGTAGAGCATTAATCATGCTCTCCTTGGGGTCACATAGACCCGAAGATTTTTTTTTCCCTTCCCGCTCTCTTTGAAAATGTATTTTCAAATAAATTCTCGCCAGGCGGGAAAATACATTTTTGGGTCTGATTGACCCGCCCCAAAAGAGCGGGAAGGGAAAAAAAAATTCTTCCAGTCAATGTGACCCCGAGGAGAGCGTGAGGGTTAAACAGTTAGCATGGTTAGTGCAAGACAGAACCAGTGTAATTAATAAAGTGTGAATTATAGATTGTAAACATATACACTATTGAGGTACTTATAGCTTATAACAAACACAACAACACAACAAAGTCAGAGGTGTTTTGGTGATGTAGTCATTATATTAAAAAAATGACTAGGAGACTATTGGCAACAATGTGTAAAAAGGGGCTACAGCCAGCCTGAATTATGCTATTGGCTACGAAGCATTTTGGCATGAAATTCTTCCATACCTTATTATAATAGAGCGCCTCCTCTGGTGAGAACTCTGCTCTGCTCTGGTCGTCAAACACAGGGCAGTGAGCCTGGGCACAGATCCTCATGAGTCTGCCGGTGTTACAGAGGAGCAGGGCTGTGTTGGTGCTGTCTCCAATTGCCTCAAAGTCCTTTATGCCTTTCTCAAAGAAGCCAAAGCTCTTCTTCCAAATCTCCTGCTCAGCCACTGACACAGACTTTTTCACTAAAAGAGAGAAAGAAAAAGAATAACTTTATTATACATAAGTTACAGTGGCCTTGGATATATATTTGTATCCTTAACAAATATACAGGTCATAAACTATTTTGTCATATCTTGAAAATATGGAAATAAGAAGTTGTTATTATTTATTTTTTTTATATATAAATGTAAATATTGGTACAATTTGAATTTGAGGAGGGCACAATTGAAAAAAAGACTCCACGATAAGTCTAAATGAGGGCAAAACTGACATTACTGTGTTTGGCAATACTGATCCCCCCACTGACCTGGGCACACTCAAGTAGCGCGTAAAACATTCTGTCACCAACTTTGGCGTCACTATTGACAACACTCTTAAATCTGACAAACAAATCTGTATTTTATTTTGGCAGTTTTATTTTTATGTTTTCAATCATTTGAACTGGTTGAGCCAGCTTGTATCTCATCTCATTTAGACTACTGCACTTTTCTCTGGCAGCAGACATCATGCTCTTTCCCGCTTACAGTTGAGCTGTTCAACTTTTAACTGGAACCAAAAAACAAGAGCACATAACCTTGATTTTGGCGTAGTGGCACTGGCTTCAGGTTCTTTTACAGTTGATTATAAAATTGTATTGTTTGTTTTTAAATACGTCTCTGATCTCATCCAAATTTACACCCTCCACCTCCTCTGAGGTCCAAGGGCCAGCTCCAGTTCATGGTGCCTAAGACAAGATTTAAAACCAGGGGGGACAGGGCTTAAAGAGTGGTGTGGTCCTCGGTGTCTTTAATTCTGTCTTTTTTTATATTATTTTATTGATTTCATTTATTTATTGCCATTTTGTGGGTTTGTTTTCATTTCACTTGACTGGTTTTAGTGTTTTAGGACTGACAAGGCTAAATTGTGCATTTATACCCCCTATTGTTTTTTAATACGTTTGTCGTTTGTAATGTTATCTTTATATGCGGAGCACTTTGGAAAGTGTTCTGTTTATAAAATGCGCTCTATAAATAAAGTGGATTTGTATATTCATACCTTCTTTCTCAGTCTGCATGGCTGCGGCCTGGTTCATGTAGAACACTCCCATCTCGTTGCGGATGTTTCCCAGGCGCTTGAGCACCTGTGAGAGCTGCTCTCCACCACTGTCCTTAAGCGCGTCGCACAGCAGCAGCTCATGAGCCGCTTCATAACACTTACAGCTCACAAACAGCTGGTACTCCGGGTCCATGGCCAGGTCCGTCGCCATGTTGAAGGCTGTGCGGAAAAACATACACGTCAGATTAAATACATGAAGGGCAAAGCAATTACATATATCTTTAATTATATCTTTCACATAAAGTTTCCACCACCAGCATTGAAACCCCTGATAAACCTAGGTGCACTGCATAAAATTTCTAGTGGAGTGTCTGCCACCCACAGGTCTCCTTGGAAATGTAAATTGCATGGTCTAGAAAATTACAATTCAGATTTGTGGAGAGTTGCCCCTATTCACAAAGAATTATTCTGTTTTTGAGCAGGAGAAACACCCGTAATGAGTAAATGCTCGATAGATATGTTTAATGTCATCTCCATGGAAACAAGTAGCTTAGCGGACCCTCCACCAGAAAAGTTGCGCAGTGTACCTTTAAGTAGCTGTGTTCTTTTTAGAGACTCCAAGATGCAGTAAGCACTGTAGTCTTTCTACAGTAATTAAACAAGATTTTGTAAGACAAGAATAATTTTGCTCAAAAAGGTGCCAAAATGTGTCTGCCGCTTTGCATTTGGATGAAGTTATGAATCTACTCAACAGCATGCCTGAAGTATAATTAAACTAAGCTGTGCATGTAAACATATTGTGTGTGTTTGCTGATGGTTTAGTGCAGTTTTAGTGTGTTCAGTGACAGACCCTGGCAGCTGCTCTCGCGGTGCAGGCTGTGTAGGATCTCTTGGTCCTCTTTGGTCTGGTAGTTATACTCCTCCATGTAGGCTGCTCGGTTGTTTATGTTCTGGGCCAACATGAGCTGGATGTCTCCACACAGAGACAGGCACTGGCTGTGGAAGTGCAGCACGTGAGGATGTAGAGTCCCACTAACAGAACAGTAGGCATCTGGAGATCACAAAAGAAATAAACATCATCATTTAGTTCTTTTAAATGCTCCTCTTTTTTTTTTAATTACAAGGTACACTATCTATCTGTCCTCTTTTTTCTAATGTAACAGCATAAAAACATACCTCATAGGCAACATATTGAAAAAATAATAGGTTCTGTGCACAGCAGCATGCTCGCTAGCCCACTGTCTCTCAAAGGTAACAGTCAGTTTTATTAAAATCGTAAAAGATAAAATGAACCTATTAAAATTCAAATTAACTACCCAATTATTTTTATATGTAGAATACTTCAGTTTGTGGCGTTGTTGTAATATTTATTATGGCTCAAAATTAGCATTAGCATTAGCATTGATACACAAACCTCTCTCTTTCCAAACACAGAAGTGTCCTCTGCTTAAGCATTTTATTTGTGTACTTTCTACCATGTTGTCAGTGACATCCACCCGCAACTCTGTGTTCACTGCCTTCTCTTTAAATATTTATTAATTTCAGCATGGCTCGGCAAAACCCATACATACAATTGGACAGGAAGTAGTGACAGTAACAGTGAGGTTACCGGGCGCTATTGTGCACAGAGCCTGTTGCACAGACCATACAGGAAATGTAATATTCTTAAAAGGCGCACCTTTTAATTGTAACTACCTAAAGTCAATTTCCCATGAAAAGGGTCTAAACTAGTTCAATCCCTCCATATCACAACAAAATTTATCAGAAAACAGTTTGTAAATTGCAAAAGTAAGCAAATAAATACAAAGTAAGTGACACTTATGTGACACTAAATGTTAAAAGTTTAAATCTTACCATAGCACTGCAGAGAGAGTTTGATGTAGCGCAGGGCTCGTCCATATTTGAGCAGGTTGGTGGCGGCATCGGAGAGAACGTAGTAGGCTTTGGAGGCTTTGAGGAAGAGCTGCATCTTCATCCGGTGTTGCCAAGAGCCAGGGATCATCCCAGAGCGGGTGGGATGCTTCTGGTCCTCATGCACAATCCCAGCTGCAGATGCAAAGTGAATTTATGATACATGAAAAAGATGCTACAGTGTTAAAAAAGAGTTAAATATCCTGTACTAATATATCCCCATTTACCACAGCTATAGTAGTTAGCATGCTGATTACACCTGTCATACATCTCTACAGAATACACTCCTTTACCCACAGGTTTTCTTCTAAAAATAAATTAATTGCTTTTCTTATCCTCTTTCTTTCTCTCTTACCTACACGCACTCCAACGCACACACACAGTACTTCATTGTATATTTTTTCACTATTTGTATATGTTCACCTGGTGTTTGCAAATTAACAAAATTAATTGTTTGCAAATTAACAAAAAAAAAAAAAAAAAAAAGGATACTAACTTCTTTCCAAAAGTAGTGAGATGTCGTTTTCAGGTGAGCAAGCTCCAGCTGTACTCCTCTCCTCATATTTTAGCGGGATGGGAGTATTTGGATCTGCAGCAGGTAGATCACTTTCCTTCTTTATGGTAAGGTCAACTGCCTTTAAACCCTAGTCATACAATTAAAATGGGTTAGTAACATTCAAAATAATAGCCAGGGGTTACTTTGTTAATGTAATAAATAAGTCTGCTCTATATCTTGTACTCTTTTTGTTTTTAGGGCACTGTATGACCACAGCCAATGGATAAAATGTCAGTTATTAGGAAATTGGGAAATGTGTTAATATCAACAACTAAAAACTGAAAAAATAAGCTTGGTCAGTATGAACCAACAAGACTGAGGACAGATTTAGATGTAATGACAAAATTTCTGATCTTCATTATAAAGAAACTGAATATGTGTTGTTGGCCAGAGTAATTACAATAATCACTCAAAGTTATAAATGCCTAGTCATTTACCTTTAATACGTAACTTAAAACATGTCTGCATCTTTCTTCTTTGTCTTGAGAAACAGGAAAAGAACAGTTTGGCTGGGAAAAAAATAGGGAACATCATCATTTAGACATCACATTCAACAGTCATTGAGTAGACACACTATTTGTTATATTAATTGGTATTAATTAATGCCCAACCCTAACTCCCACATTTCTGTGTTATATTATGGTATGCTTTTTATTTATACTGGGACAATGCACAACAATACATTAACCAAGAGAAAAGTCATAGGAGAGATGCTGGTGCCAGGTTAGCATGAATTTTAATTTACACCTGATGAGTCTGGTGAAAAAACTGAAAACACAAATTAAATCCATATAGATAAATTTACCATAAATACATTAAACAGATATTACATAGGGTCATATTGTTCAAATACTACTCTAAAAATGAGCCTGAATCATTCTTAATAAACCAGTTATTTAATAATTTATTATGAATTGCATCTTTATTCAAGTTTTATGGGTGTTTTATTGCTCTCAGAACATGCACACATACAGTTAATGGGCCATCCTCTGCACAGATCTGACCAGTATCTTGGTCTGGTAGCATCTCCTGCTTGTTGCCATGGAGATAGTTTAGTTTAATACCATACTGTGAAACATTCCAAGCAAAACAATTACATTATCATGTAGACAAAAATGTAGGCAGACCCGCTCTACCAGAAAAGTTTCACAATGCACCTTTAAGGCTAATTAAGGTGTAGTTATTATAAAGTGGTACCTATATATTTAATGTAATCTTACTCTGATCTGATGAGTGGACTTGTACTTCTCAGGCACAGAGAGCTCCACCACAGAGCGGATGACAGCCACGGCCTTACTGTCCCGCTGAGGGCGAGTGTAAGAGCTGTTTTCGTCACTCTCCTCTGTCAGCTCCTCTTCCTCTCGTTCTTCGTCACTGTAGCTGTCCTCTGACCCTCCGGTCCGCAGTGACTCCCCCTCGTCTTCCTCAGTGGGGTCGTCCAGCTGGAAGAGCTCCGAAAGCATGTAGTTGGCCGAAGCGATGATCTGTCCAACACAAAAGGTGAGCCAGAAAACCATCAATTACAATTAGCCAATCCATTAAACTGCAATAGTGGCTAATCTGTAAAAATATACTGGAGCTTAGCAGTTAGCGGTTACATGTTAGCTGTTGTCAGACAAATTACCTGTGGGTGTTTGTCCTGGTCCAGAAGTTTTATACAGTTGAGAAGCAGAGTTCTGATTGTGCCATAGTGTTTTCTGTTTTGATGGGCCTTCAGCATCAAGTTGCTAGCCACTCTAAAAATAAACACCGACGCATTATTTTGTGTACTGTGAAAAGGTATTGCAAAACAATGGCAAAAAAGCAATACAATATCTCCTTACTTCAAAATTCAAACCAGACATTATAAATAAAGACATAAGAAAAAAAAACATTTCCAAAAGTACCATTTTATCAGCATGGGAAAATGGTTTTAGATTACATGCTCTTCATTTATGGAAAACTCTCATAAACCACCTAAAACTTAACAGTCCCTTAACTGAATGCTTTGTTGATTACAGGTTCAACAAATATTTAAATGTACATTTAGTAGCATTTAATTAATTGTAAATGTTTTGTTTTATTTTTATTTTTTTAATGAGATGCAATATCAGTGGGATTTCCTGCTAAAATAAAATAAATAAGTGAACACCAACTATAGTCCAATGAGATTCATTTGGTCTTCCGACGTAACATAACATAGAACACCAACTATATTTCTTAAGCCTAAATGGAGTTGACCTACTTGTAAAGTAAGACAGCCACAGGCAGAGTGAAGGGATTCTGACACTCCTCCTCCGCCTCTTCACACAGCGTGGTGAGATCATACAGCTTCACTATGTCACTCCCACTGGCTGAAAATGGAACATACGCTCATCAGAAATCAACAGTAGGAAAAGGCATAAATCAACTTTGGACTGAGATCAGACCTTTGAAAAGCCAGTAAGTGTGTCCCTCTTTGGTGCAATTGGACTTGAGGAAGGAGAGGATGTTCTGAGCGATGTCCTTTATCACCCGAGTCGAAAATGTGGAGTTTTCAAGATGGGGGATGTCTTCTGTTTTTATCATTTCATATTTCTGCAGAAAACAAAACAAAATGTATGCAGGATATGGTAAGAATGAGAGAATATTTTGATTAAAAGTAAAATCAAATATATTTCGACTGTACCTGCACTATTCCATTGACGTGAAAGCACATGACGAGCTCCGGAACATTGCACATGAGATTGTCCAGCCAGTAATCAATGCCGGTCAAAATGTTGATAGGTTTATTGTTGTCTCTAAATAATAAAAGCAAAGAAGGTTTAAAGGTGAAATGTGGAAGTTTTCTGGTGGAGGGTCCGCTACTTGCTGGTCTCCATGGAGATGTTATTGCTTTGCCTGAAATGTTCCATGGTACTACATTAAACATCACATCTAGCATTTATTCATTACGGGTGATTCTATTGCTCAAAAATGCAATAACTCCTTCTGTGAAGAGGGGCGACTCTCCAAAGATCTGAATTGTAATGTAATATGGTGCTGTAACCTGCTTCTCCCTTGTGCTACATAGGTTTAATCTATACTGTGGAACATTCTAAACAAGGCATGGAGACAAGCAGGTGGCAAACCCCCCACTAGAAATGTTAAGCAGTGCACCTTTAACAATTGTGAAGCATGACAATTGTGTATTAAAATTCAAATGAATACAGTACCTTAGTCTGAGGCTGACAGCAGGGTAGCGACCTCCTCCAAATATGGGCATATTGGAGCCCACCAGCATATGGATGTCTTCAAAGGTCCACATGATGTTGCGCACAAAGTCATTTCGTAAACCCTGACAAACACACACACAGTCTGCCATTAACAAGTCTTCAGATTCTTTCTCAAATCATTCTGTGACAGTGACTTAGACAGACACCTGTACATATTTTTTATTACAAAATGAATATTCACTATTCAAAACTGAAGGGTCATTTTATAGCTACAAAGAGGAAATATTGTGGGTGTGTGGTTCTCTAATTTAATGGAGAGAGTTCAGTTACACTGTCTATTATATTATTATACTTGTGATTATGTGATTAGCTTTGATACATCTTAATCTTGCCACATTTTTATAGGTCCATGATTTTTTCGAGACTAGATAAGATTTAAAGCCCCAGTTTACACAATTGTCATTGTAGTGACAGACTTAAAGGGGGTATTACACAATGGGGTATTACTTGTTAACACATATTTAGTTCACCATGTTCCCTTTTATTGGTTTGAAACTACTATATTTGATTGAATGTATTTAAAGGTTTAATTAGTTCTGTTTTGTATTTTGATGCTCGGACCTTCTACAGAGAGGGGCCAGGTGGTGGGAGCATGGGGAGTGCTGCAGAGAGCTTCATGGTTATAGAGGCTGGTGGGCTGAGCCTTAGACAAGATACATGGCCAAGTAAAGCCAACCAGAAGAAGGGTTTGAGGGTTCAAGTGATTCAGAAAACCATTTCAGGCATCTTTTTATTGAAGGAATGTTTAAACATGGTAGAAAACCCCAAAACGTTTAATTAACATAAAACCCCCTCTTTAATCACAATCTAACTGCAGTATTGTAGACAACTTATACTCTTCTTACCTGACTGTTTTCTCCTTCATTGAAAAGTGTAGGAAGATTCTGTTCATTTGGAACTGATGACACATGGCCAAGGGCAAACTGGCTGTCCACAGAGACGCTTTCCTGTTCGAACAACAACCACAGCTTAGGTAAGTGCCACTGTGATACCTTATATAAGTATACAGCTTGCGACAGTATATGTGACCTCTTTGGCCGGAGCCGAGTCGTCCTCATCTGGGGGGGAGGTGGTGAGGGTCGTTGGCCATGAAGACCTAAGCTGCTCCGCCTCATTCTCGTCTTCCTCTTCATCAACCATGTCCTTTGGTACTGGCGCAGCAGCTCCATCACCATTTATACTGAAATGCATATTTGTCATGTCAAAAAAGTGTACGCATTTGAAATATGTACATTAAAAACTAAATACTTACCTGTAGTAAAGGAACTTTGATAGGATAGCTTTTTGATACCAGTGCTCTTTACTTTTCTTTTTCCTTTGCCACTTTTGATCCATTAGCCTCTGGTAAAACTCCTTCAGCCATGCCCAATCTCCAGTCTAAAATGAGCAAAACAAATTTAGTTTTTGTTTTGTCAACTTAAAAATGCACAGCTGACTTTCTCACACTGATAATTCCAATGATCCTTACTTGGGAGGACCTCCTGAACAGGTCTTGAATATCCAGTTCATCCAAAAGCAGCGTTCTCCCACTCGGTGAACAGCCATGCTGACATGTGACTTACTGTAAGGGATTTTCAACAGCTTCTTTATGTTCTAAATGTGGCAGAAGACATGAAATGTATTAGCAATGTTTAAAAATAACTATATAGTGCTTTCACTTTTTGAAATCTACACAAACCTCTGAATCAGACACCACATCAACATCATCCCCAATGCAATCAATGAAGTCATAGGCCATACCAAAACTAGAAAAACAAAATTAATTCAGTAATTTATTCTCAACAAATAAATACATGACAGTGAGCTATCATATCAATAGAAGCATAAATAGTTGGAAAATGTATTTAATTAAGTAGATCATTGTTGTTAAGCCTGTAGCCAAAGGATAGACTTAATACCATTATTATTAATAATACTCATGTTTGGGATTTATAATTTAAAAGTCATTGTGTATTTGACTAGTTTTATGGGGCAGAATGAGTGCCTGTCCTTATCAGTCAGAAAAAAAATATTTTGCACCATTTCTGCAACTGATTGGAGCAATAACTAAATAGCTAAAAATTTGATTAACCAAATAAGTAGAACAAGAAACAGCACTAAAACAATTGCAATACTTTGGAATTTATGTTTCCCTCTGTGACTTGACAATACAAACAGTTCCCAATATGCATACTGCTGTTAGCAATAATCTATCTTCATCAGAGCATCCGGACCAACAAGGGAGGCCATCTGCTCTGAATGTTTGCAGCAATTAGCCGAGCGAGTTTGCTACTTCCAGCCAAGAGTAAACAATGATTAGCATCCCCTCTGTTTTCATAGACAGCGCAGTGGAGTGTATGAATAGTAAATGACCTATTATGTTATAACAAAATAGTTACAATTGTGTTGCACTGACTTTAATGTGAGATTTTACCTGGAGAATGGTTTGCTCTTACTGCTGGACCCTAACACAGTGGTGCCAGCAGAGCCCAGTTGAGGGTTCTCTCTGAGCCAGTTGGCAGGGGGCAGTTTCAGGTCAGTCTTCTCTTGTAAGACTGCATAACTTGTTGGAGGTGGGGCAGCAGAGTACTTCACGACCGCTCTGCTTTTGATTTCACTACTGCCAGAACAGATCATTGTGTCCTGCAGGATGAAAAACGTTTGAACAAACAATGTTTGCAATTTTATAAGTTATAAGTTGTATTGCGCTTTCAGTGTCCATTTGCACTTTAAAATGCTGTTTCAAGAGTTCCCCATACTTTCCATCATTCTAGTAGAGCTTGGTACACAATTGTCAACTCTAATTTTAATGGCATACAGAAATCCAAAGTAAAAATCAGTTTTTTTTTTTGTTTTTTTGTTTTTTTAATACAAAATAGATAAAAGGTCCATTAACATTATGATCTTTCAAATTTAGTAACCCCTGAGGTCCCAGTTACAACCGAGAACGTTAGTATATAGTTAATGCTTGGTAGCAAATGTTATGCTCAGATACTTAGGCCTGATTCTTTATTCTGTTTTATCACTGAATGTCAGGCTACCTGCATACTATTTCAGAATGTAAAATATCATGCGTGAAGGGTTCTCTAGCGATATCCCACGTAACACCACCAGAAAGAGCACAGATAAAAGTTAGCTTCTGTGTGCTCACCTGTTTACTGGTCTCCCCTGCACATGTGTGCCCGCTGTCCTCCATGGAGCTGTCAAAGGGGATGTCAGCCTCCCTGTCCCCCGCTGACGAGGAGCTCATTCTGGAAATGCGAAACCGCGGTCGAGTTTTTTCAACTATCTAATGAGCATTTTACAGGTGTCACGACTCACACATTAGATTTCCCCTGTGTTCCTGTTGCTTCCTTAGCTAGCCAATGTAGCAACGGTGAAAATAAAGGTGAGTATAAAATTCTGCTATGCTACACCAATGTCTACAGAATCTGTCCAAAAGATCAGCTGCCACTTAATCAGTAGAAGTCTTTCCTTCAGATGTTTCAGCTGTTCTACTTCAGACAACAGTTTGTTGTTGTAGAAGCTCAGGATCGCACGATAGGCTAGCGACAACTTCCGGGTCTTCTTAAAACAAATACTATTTTTTTTCTGTAAATACGAATTGCTTTTCTATTTTAAATCCCTGCTTACGTGTGAAAGATATTAGCGTGTTAATAACTAACATTAAAACAAAAGAAAGAACCCATGTCATTTGGAAAATTTCACATTTCAACATGACCCGGAAGTACTTTTCGTACACACGTTCTAGAAAATTTGAGTATATTCTTTATTATAGCCACAGACTTTGGTCCGTTTTTATTTTTAATATGTTATTATATTTTGTCGTATGGTCTATACTTTTTCAATTAATGCATCAAAATAAGGAACACATTTGAGCAATCTTACACTTACAACAACAAACAAATTATACTTACATTTTTTTAAAAATACACTTTTCTTTTTTTTTCTTTTCTTTTTTTAAACTGATAAAGAATTGTTCCGAACGATCAAAGCAGTGCACCAGTGCAGAGAATCAGGCTCCTTCGATCAATCATCAATTACATTAGATGTCAGTAGGTGGCAGCATTAGTCCGCAGGGTATCGATGGGCACTCTTTTGTTGTTTTGTCCTGCAGGATAGTGAAGCAGCTGATTTGAGCAAGGCGGAGTTGTGAAACTTTGCAAAGAGATGCTAGAAACACGACAGTCTCCTGCCTCGGTCACGCCACATTTAGCTTGACTGATCAAGTAATACAGGCGCAGTTTAGGTTGTGAAGGTTGTACCTGTGAAGTCTTTTTCTACCATGTTGGGTTGGAAAAGTCACGTGCGCTCACGGCTCCAACAGAGGGACCAAACTGAGAAACTCCCCTTTACTGGAGTCTTTACATGCTGTAAGAGCAATTTTATTTTAAAGTTATTCTTCTGAGAGTTTAGTAAGAGATGAGAATTAAAATGTAAATGTTGTTGTGTGTTTAGTATCTGAGACACAGGAGCGTTTTGAATTTCGCAATCAAATTTTGGAGGAGATTCACCCCAAAAGGTCTGATTTTCTTTTTCTTTTTTTTTCTTTTAATTGCATTTTCATTGATTATTGTCCTTTATTTTAAAGCCTAGAAAAAGTTGGAGTTGAAGACGGGAGACAAACAAGACTCCTTCACCTGCATCTGAAAGAGAGTGAACACCTGGCAGAAAAGGTTGGATGTAATTTAATTCATAATAGAAACTAAAATTAATTAAAAAGCCCCAATTATACAACTTGATATGAGGTTGAAAAATCATAACAGTCATATGGAATGTGTTTTATTATAAAATAAGCTATACAGTGGTCCATGTGTGGTAAAAGTAGGATCAACTGCCTCACATGATTTCACATAGTAAATATTATTAATCCAATTGTTGTTTACTTCTCCCAGTTTGGAGGAATGTGCCATTCTGCTAAGATGGCAGTTTTATGTTTTCAAAACAACTCTTAAAAACAATTCACACACGTAATTAATCATGTGACATAAACATTTATTGCTAAAGGACACAACAACACTCTGCACTGGTAGCTGCTGCTTTTATCATTACTTTGCACCAGTGACATGCTCAAAGCTATTTGATCATTAATTATTGATTTCTTTGTAGCTCTCTCAGACAGTCTCAGACCTTACTGCTGTCCTGTATTTAAAAGAAGCTGAAATACAATACTGGCAATCACGGTAATTTAACTAATAACAGTTTTGGATACGTATTTATCACAATACCACTGCCAATATTTCACTGTCTATTCCAGAGTATCCCACTACCACAAAGAGGCTCTCCGTTTGGCAAAGGGCAGTAACAGCCTTAAGTCCACTCTGTCAGAGTATGAGTTCACTGTGGAGTGTCAGTCTAAGGAGCTGGAGACACTGAAGAAGGAGCAGGAGAGACTGAAGGAGGCACTGGTCCAGGTCCAGAGAGAAAATGACCAATTGCTGCAACGCTGGATGGACAGGAAAAGAGAGGAGGCCTACAGGGTCAATGAATACAACAACAAGCAAGAGAGGTATGAGCTCCCTCACATATGAATTGAGTTACATACAATAGACTGTATGGACATAGCTAAACCGGTAGCTGCCATATTCCAAATAAGAAGTGTTCATGGGAGCGCTTCCATCAACTCTGTCTCAAAACTGTCAACCCTCTCTCTGTAACTGCTGCAGTGAGCCTTGTCATTTTGGTCTTAAAATGTTCATATTAACACACAGCTCTACATGATCCTCATGTTTTTATTTTAGTATTTTTCCATAAATAAATTCCTATTCCTAATATGGAACTCTTCTCCAAATTTACTCCTATTTCTTCATTTGACTGGAGATGATCGCAATGGGTGACGTCACACTCCCTTAGTCCACTTCTTTATACAGACTATATACTGAATCCTAATATTCGGTAAGTTCTATGTTCACAAAAAAACTGTGTGCAACTGTTGCTAAGTGCTACATGTCATACTGTCAGCATTGTAATTAGGGTAAGTTAAGAGCTTGGCCAGAGCCAAAACAATATACGGGTTGCGGTTTAAAACAACTTAATTTACCTATATATACCTTATATATTTCTTATATATATTTAATGTATATTTTTATGCATACTTTTATACCTTTTTCTTTTGTACAAAGTATATAGCATAGCTATGTACTTATATACTTTGTACATACTTTATACTTTTTACTTGAGTAAAAATTTTCAGTACTCTTTCCTCCACAGGCAGGTTATTGTGATGCAAAAATATATTATATTGAGCCAGGAGCAGGAGAACAGTTTCTTCTCCACTGTTGCTGGACTCATGAACACTTTATAACACCTATCACTGTCACTTTAAGCAGCTATAATGAATCTACTTGCACTGATACTTTTGTAATGTTGTCTGCCCATTCTGTATATTCTGTGTTTGTAAATGTATTTTCTATTTTTATTTACCTTATGTTAATGCCCTTATTTTTATTTTATCATAGATTTTATTAACAATTATCATTAATGATTGATATTGATACTGTTTTATACTGCACCATACCACCGAAGCAAGATCCTTTACAAAATGGTTAAAAGCTAAACAGTCAATTTAACATAATATGAATTAATATTTGTTGTGTTGCAGTTTTTTAACTTATAGATAATTGTCCATAGCCTACAGTTTTTGTTTCTTGTTGTTCTCAGGTGGCACCAGGTGCTCAGATACATCAAAAAACACAAGGAAATGGACAAGCCAGCTGTTCCTGAGTTGATGCCTTGTTTGACTGGCACTACACAAAAGTCTTCATCCGCAAATCATCATCAGTCTGCATAAGAAAATACTAAAAATTTTACATTTTACAATTTATATGCAACTTTTGTTTGTGTTAAACTGTATAATTAAATTATGTAACCAAAAACATACTTTAATACTGTTGTTAATGTTGCTCTGACTGAATTTTTATTTAGTTTCACACAAGAAATACCATGTTTAAATTAAAATTTTCTTAGCTAGGCTTCAGCTATGACAAAAATCTAATTTCTGACTGATACTTCTGCTTTTCTTATTCAGCTGGTTCACTTTTACAATTTGTTCATAGCTTAATTTTGGATTTTTTTAATTCAGTGTTTTAAATTATCTTCTGTTTTAAATTGTTTTACTACCCTACTGTAAGAAAATATTTAAATCTACATTTTTGCTTTAATTAAATTTATTGTATGTACTAATTAAATTGATTTTTTTTTTCTCTCATTAAATGTTTATTAAATGAAAGTGTATGCAAATGTGTCCTTGTCCATCTCCATGACAAACCAAGGTCAAATTTCAGGTTGTTTGTTTATAGCCAGTTACCATGGTCACCGGTGTTGGCATTAGTTGGTGACTTTTAGATTGTGTGTCTCTTGTAGTTTAAACTTGTAATCAAAGCTCCAATCTGTCAAAATGGTAAAAGGTGGCAGGCAGTTTACTCCAACCAACCGTGGTGGAAAATGGGTAAGATAGCTTTTGTTCAAAATTGGTATAGTTGTAGTCACTTGAAAGAAAGTTATAGGTACTTTGTCTTTTTTTCATGCAGTTCGCTCATCCAGACTCAGCGGGGAGCGAGGTGGGAAGCCGAGAGACTTGTACCAGCACTGGCATCATGCTGACTCAAGTGAAATCAACAGTGCCACAGGCTTTGCAGATCGAGCGCTATCCTAAATGGAAATCTCAGCAGGTGTGTGTAGATAATGTAGGCTATGCTATTGTGCTTTGTGTTACATGGCTTCTCGGAGCTATCACATAAAACACTGAAAGCCTGTAAGGACTGTGTTGTTGCCTTGAAAAATGGCACACTTAAACTAGACTACACTACCTGGTTTTCTTTCCTGTCAGTGTCAAATGCATCCAAACAAGAGCTTCTCTACACTTAGTTTATTGACATATTGACACTGTAAGATAGTATTTTGACCCCCCATAGTATATTAACCCTGGGGTCAACATACCAACAAGTAATTTTTAACATTCAAAAGTTATAATCGACATAAAAAATGTATCTGAGTTCTTCAAAAAACTCTTTTAAATATGTCAGTATCTTTTTATTTGCAGATATAGTATTAATATTCAAAGTTTTTCTATAGAATTCAAGTTCTTTATTAATAATATATAGATTTTCATGGGGGGGGTCAATATTCTATGGGGGGTCAACATACCATAATAGGATTCTGACCCCAGGTCAAAATAATATATGGTATGTTGACCCCGGGGTCAGTGTTGGGGAGTAACAGATTACATGTACCGGAGTTACGTAATCAGAGTACAAATTATGAGTAACTGTATTCAGTTACAGTTACTGTTTCAGTGAGTGGTAATTGGATTACAGTTACTTTGTTGAAATAAATGGATTACACGTCGGTATTTTCCTATCCGATCCGATCCGATATTTCTTTTCCAATCTATATCCTTTTTTTTTTTTCAGTAATTCCACTCATGGCCAGAAACTAAACCAGATCTAAACTAGAGCTAAACCAGGACTAAACCAGGTCTAAACCAGGTCTAAACCATGACTAAACCAAGACTAAACCAGGACTAAAACCAGGTCTAAACCAGGACTAAACCAGGAGTAAAACCAGGTCTAAACTAGATCTAATCCAGGTCTAAAACAGGTTTAAAACAGATCTAAAACAGGTCTAAAATCAGACCTAAACCAGGACTAAACCAGGATTAAACCAGGACTAAAACCAGGTCTAAACCAGGACTAAAACAGGACTACAACAGGTCTAAACTAGGTCTAAACCAGATTTAAACCAGGCCTAAAACAGGTCTAAACCAGGTCTAAAACAGGTCTAAAACCAGGTCTAAACCAGGACTAAAACAGGAGTAAATCATGCTGTGTGGATGTGTCTCCTCTTCTTCTATCAAGAATATTTTTAATACGGTTCAGTAAAGTCTGGGCTTTTTATTTTCTTTTAGCAGACAAAACATCTTATGTTACGATATCCTCGTCTTTGCTTCTCTACAGCAAATCAAGTAATCCAAAGTATTCAGATTACGTTACTCACTTTAAGTAATTTAATGGATTACGTTACAAACTACATTCTGGGTTATGTAATCTGTAATCTGTAGGGGAATACATTTTAAAAGTAACCTTCCCAACACTCCCCGGGGTCACCTCACCGCGGGGTCAAAATCCTATACCACACCACCTCAAAATATGAGAAAGGAATATTTGTTTCAAAATGTATTATAACAAAAATATTAAAAAAACAACAACAATTTAATAAAAACCCTGCCTAAAGAAATGCTTTCAAGTGTATCTAAAATAAAATTATAGAAACATATTAAAGTACTGTACACAGTAGTTCCAATTTCCCAAAAAGTTAATTTATATAACAGTATTTTTAATATAAATGTTATATTTATTTTGTGCTAAATACATTTCAAGTAGATTTAGTGAGTATTTGAGGTATGAGGTCATATCTGAATAGTCTTCACAAAAACATGGTGTGTAACTGTTGCAACACGTAATACAGCTTTGTACTGAGGGTAATTTAAGAGCTAAACAGGGGGGTTACTGTGGTGTATATTAGAAGCACTTAACATGATATGATTTAATGTTTATTCTGTTGCGGATTTTAATTCGCAGTTAATCATTCATGGTCAGCAAAGTACTGTATGTAGTTGTCTTAATTTCCCCACAAAATTGTATAACAGTTTTATATTAAATCAACAATTTCTGCTATACATACATTTTAAGTATGTAAAAATGAAAAAAGTATGTTAAAATTATAAAGTTGAATTTTAGAAAAAAAAAATTGTTCAGGAAATCATTCAATACATTAATATATTTGAATGCAAATGAACACATTTTTATTTGAGTTTGCAATGGCACCTTTAGCGCCTCCTGAAGGTGCAGCAACGGCGCACATGGGTCATGGCTTGACGTAGACGGGCCATGCCACCACCAAACCTTTTCTTCATGACTGACCAGAAGGAGGCGCTCTTGTGCATACTATTGTCTGCAGTATCAGTCTTGAGATCTTTTGAAGAGTCACCAGTGAAATCAGCCTGTTCAGGTCCAGCCATATGCTCCTTGTTCACACTGGAGCTGTCCTCATCAGTCTGGTCCATCTTAAACCAGAACAGCTCTTTGTCCCTGAGCAGATCAGGGTCAGTGACATTTGTGTCCATGCACTGGTTATTCTCCTCCATAATCTGATTGATGAAGGAAACATCATTATTTCTCATGAAACAGTCTTTGTTTTTCCCATTCAAAGGGCTGTAGGACCAGTCAGGTTCCTCTGGCTCCTCATGTTTAGAGGACATGTGGTGATCCTCAGGAGGAGAGCTCAGATCTTCAAAGACCAAAGAAGACCCTGGCCTGTTGAGTGAAATTGCAGAGGACTGTGAGTCCTTCTTCCGCTGTATTTACCACAGGAGCAGATGTGGAGGTCTTCAGTGTTACTGCCATCAGATCATGGGCACTTAGGACATATTCACTGTCACTGTAGATCAAGTGCTCCCTTGTTATGAAGGGATGCCTCAGTGCTTGACCAACGGTCAGCCTCTTCTTTGGGTC